ATTAATGCGAGGAATTTTTGTCCTAATTTGTTCTTTACCATTTGGTTGTATGGGGGCATATACCAAATTATTTTTCTACTTCTGTTTTTTCCTTGCTTTCCATTTTCATTTTTAATATAAGTTAGTTTTGGGGTTTTGTAGCCACTCTCTTTTAGAGCTTTATTATACGAATTGATATGCTCATCAAAAATCTTGTCATTTGCTGAATTTGCACTTATTCTTTTTCGGATAGATAACGGTATATGCTTAATTATAGATGGTGGGTGATTTGATTTAGGGTGTATATATAAAGGATTGGTATTGGGTTTTTTTATAAGGTGTGTATGTATTTTTCTTTAAATCTAATGTTATATCAAGGAAGTTAACTTTTTTAATTTAGTGCTAACCGTAATTTTTAAGCCCATGCTTTTAAATTCTTTATATAATACCTTTCTAATTTTATCTATTTTGAAGTTAGTTGAATGCTGGGATCAAAATGGATTCCGAGACAGTTTTGAATAAAGTTGTTAATTTTACCACGTCTCCTGTCATCTTTGTTTAGCTGACCAGTCTCATATAACTTATCTTTCAAGCCCAGTGGACCAAAAAGAAACGAACATTTATTAAAATAACAAAACGTATTTTCACATCAAATTATACAAAATACAAAACTGGCTTGCAGAAAATGTCCCTTGTGCGTCTCAAAATAGTCAAGACAGAATAAAAGTTTTTCTATAAGTTCAAATTTGTGTTTTCTTTCAGAAAACAAGAGCTCAAGCCAATTTTTTCTTTTCTTTTAGAAACAATATAAAAATTTACTTTTTTATTTTATATGTTTAAATTTGAAGGGTGAAAAAGGAAAACTTATCTAAGGCGTTGTCGATTTTGCGGATTTAGAAAAAATATTTAACTTTTCTCAAATATGAGATAAAATCTCAAGGTTTTGAAATAGAAATTCGAATGTATAAGATAATATCAAACTTTGAATCTTCTACTTCTTCTTTTGCAGCAGCAACACCAACCGCAGCTGCCCATTAGCCTGAGACAGTTGTGCCTCCTACATCTTCCATACAAACCGGATGTTGATCGCTCGACAACCCAAAGTATTCTGCGTAAATACGCTTTCTGCGCATCGGCTTCACGCATACACCCGCTTTAACCAAAAAAAAATTAATAATATAAGACCCGTCAGAGGTACTGCTGCTCAAAAATTAAAATCTTAATTTCTAGCCGACTAAACACGATATACCCAAATTCAAACAGGGGCACCTCGAGGCGGTGTAATGGTTAGCAAGCTTGTCTTGCTAGAACAATTACCACTGAGTAGTGAGTTCGATTCTCACTGGGTGCCCCCTACTTTCGGCCTTGTGCCACATCTGAGCTACGCTTGGAAAATCACTACTCAAATTCAAACAGACCGTACACAGATGAGCGTTTGGTGTCAACACCGACATGCTAAGATAGAGACACCACCAATGACGACGAAAAGCAGGTGCGGCCACCACTAAGTATCTATTTGCTTCTAACTTCACCATTCTCTCTCCCTGTTACTTTAGCAACAGATATAAGTTACCAGTCTTTGTTACTCCTACTCAATGTCATCTTTTGATTTACGTTTGTCGAGACGGAGAAGGAGTTAACCTCCACAAGAACAACAACAAGTGCTGCCTTCCAAGTTACCTATTTTCGTCTCCACAACACAGCTAGTGAGTGTCTCCAAACAAAATATAAAATAATCAACTCCTTTGTGGGCAGATACTTTTTTATCCCCATCGTTTCAGAATTTTGAGGAGGTACGGTAATGGATAGCGGCTCAGATTGAGGAATCTGAGAGCAGAGTTCGAATTCCAGTCGAATCCATTTCACTTACGTGCTAATCTTCTTCTTCTCACACCCCAGCTATGGGTAAATAGCAGGACAGATCGGGTTCTATAGACTTGAATAGCCACTGGTCTACCGCAGAAAGAAATGGCAACATACTTCGGGAAAAATCTGTCTCGTCAGTCATGTATCGAATGATACATGATCGCCTAAGCGTGTATCACGCATGGCACATAACTGACTGACTGTTTCAGAATTTGAAAATGTAGCTAGACAATTAAACCGTGTCTTTTCGCAAATTTTAATTTGGCGGGTTTTAAAAACATTAAATTGGAGGCTCTATTTTGCAAATAAATTTTTATTCATTTTTCTTTTTTTATATAAATCGACCAGTTTCATTCTAACATACTTCTATTTTTTTTTTTTTTTGAAATGAATAAGTAAATTTGCATGTTTGGCTATTTTTTCCATAATTTTATATTCTTATTCCCTTAATTAATTTTCTATACAATTATACATTTTCTTTTTTATTATAAATAATTTTGATATCTTTTGCCTTTTGTGAGTGTGTGTATTAAGTACAGTATAAACAAGTGACGCCATTATATAAGACGTGAGTTAGGAAAATGAAAGAAAGCAAACAGAATATTGCCTGTGTACCTGTATATGCTTCCGCGTGTTTTCTCAAAATTGTTTTAAAATTAACATGTATAAGATGCGTAGAAATCTCGCTTTATTCTCGTTCACGATATAAACCAGTTACGTCCAAAGAATATATAACTGTTTAACAGAATATAGTTTAACAAGCAGAGTATTGTTGCGTGGAGCGAAGACCTAAATAAACACTAAGGCAGCAGTCAAATAGCAAAAAAAAAAACAAAAAAACAAAAAAAAAAACAAAGATCTCTTTGTCGGAATATTCGAGCATCCTTCCGGTTAATAAATTAACCTTTTGAAAATAAATCTTTAGAATTTTTCAACCAACGACAAAAAACAAAAAAACATGCTTCGTAATCCCTTTGAAAGATATTTAAGCTAAGTTTAAAGACCAGACAAACCAGTAAGAAACGGCAACAGTCCACGACTGCAGCTTCAAAGAGATTCCTTTGCTCATTCACCCGTCTGCCTCGCCAAGCTACGTGACACTTACACTTTCTTCCTCACTTTCACCGTTGCCTCTCTTTTTTCTCACACATACATGTGAATAAATCACATTTCTGTTCATCTTAACAAACAACTAAAAACAAGGAACTTTAACACAAGAACTTCACTTCAACACTCATACACGCTAAGAAATATTTAATTGTATAAAAACACAAAAATATTTTATATTTAAAATTATATTTAAAATCTTTTCTCGCTTTTTTCTTTGTTGTGGATTGATTCAAATCCGCAACAGTTGTTTGCAGAGAAGGGAGAAAACAACACTGTGGCAATGGCGATATCACCCCTGAAATAGTAATAATAATGATAATAAAGGAGTATATGCTGTAAGACAGAGGACGCCGGGTGAAAGAGAGGCGTTTTTGAATAACCAAGATGTTAATATGCTGTAAAGACTTTGAAATGTAAATGTTACAGAAAGTTAATTTACAACACGAAATAAATCTTTTTAAGTGTACAAAGGATATCAGATTACTAATAGAAAATTACTGGAACAATGATAATTTGGAACTTTAAAAAAGAAATGGATTTTGACACTATAAGAATCGAAGTTAAAATATAAGATGTTTATAGTGAAGTGTATGAGTGTTGAAACAGATTAGTTTGATTTGGCATTGTTATTTAGATAGCCCACCATAAGAGGGGTATAAAACAAGAAAATCAAATTGTAAAGCGAAACAACAGATTTATATACATATAAATCAATTTGGGTCTTTACAAATAAAATTAATGTATTTTGGTTGATACAAGGTTGTCAAAATGTTCGTAGTAGTCCTTGCAAGAATGAGTTTATGTTTACGTAGACAGGAATGTATATGTGGATGTATGTATGTATGTATGAACGTTATCGTAGGGTAGGAACGTCTTTGAAGTAATCGTTCAGTCTTAAATGTTCCGTTCGTTTATCAAGTATAAAAGAGGTGAGGGAGAAAGGTAGAGATAATAATAACAATCGCTTGACGTTTGTCAAGGGACGTGTTAATACGCTCGTCTCCCTTTCTCTCTGGTGGCAGGCGAACTTGCCCGTCTTTTCTTTTGTTTATGGGGCTTGAAAAAGTCATTTGGGAATTCACTCCCGGGTATGATTCGGGCCTTTCCATTGGATGATGAACAAATTTTCGCGTCGGCTCGCGAAAAGGTCCGTAAATGAATTTGTTTCTGAGAATTGAAGATTATTTGAATTTTATTTTTAAATGTTTCCTAGTTTTCTATTGGCCGAAAAACATTTCGCATCAAGGTGTGAAATTACACGAGTTTTGTTTTGGATTCGCTTTTGCGTGTCTGTTAAACAAAGTTTGTAAATTCAAGTCTTTTTTAATTTCTGACAAAATCAGTGAGTCAGCGCTTAGGATTTGAATTTTAAATCTAGATCTTGTTTTTGTTCACTACATACTCAATGAGTTCATAACTTCATGACACACCACCGCGCATCGCCTCAGCTCTACAAACAAAATTTGTCAAAGGAAGAATTATAGATGCGATGATGAAACAAGTTTTAGTGATTTTTTTTTCAGCTAAAAATTTCTTTTAATATTTTCTGCACTTAACGTGTACGTTTTGGTTTAAAAATCGAGAAGTGACAGACAGTTGTTGCGGGTCGGTGTGTCCGTTGAGAAATAAATACGTGTGTCTCCTGAAATGCCCACAATAAACATGGCAAACTCTGGATATGAGTCCACGTAAAGAAACGAAAAGAAACGATATACATGTACAAACAAATGATCAAAGGATTACAAGTGATAAAGACAATAATGTGTGTGTAACAAATGAATGTGGAAACTTTTGGTCTAAATATGTGAATGTGCGAACGTACGTGTGCGTGTATGTATTGTTCATGCGTTTCCCAAAGGGAACGCGTTTTTCCATAAGAGACTTATATATTTAACGGATAAGATCAGAAGACAGAGATAAAAAATTAAAGCAGAGTATTTATAGTGCCGGAGAACGTTCCCTAGTAACGGTTCCGAAAATCAAGAGGAGGTAACCTGACACGGTGACCAGGAAGTTGGGAATTAATGAAATTGCCAGCGAAGCGAATGTTGCTGACAATAACAAGACAGTGTAAGTAGTAGGCTATTAATTCTTTGTGGGCAATTACCGTAATCATTGTCTAAATTTAAACTTATCCCAAACCAAACTCAGCCCTAACCCTCCATGGAAAATATTTGTCCACCACGTCTCGGAGGTGCCAGAGATCAGTGTTCGACATAAAATAAAAGTTAACTTTTTGAATGTTGATTTTCTAGGTGTGGCAGGCAAGCAGGCTCTCCACATGTAGGGGCATACGTAACACGGTCATCCTTACTATATTTGGTTAGGGGCCTTCTTTATGCTTTACAACACATGTAAGCGGGGTGGACTTTTATTTTCGTATGGAAAATATCTAAAAATGCAGTCCAGTTGAGGTATATATTTAATAAATTTAGCCTAGTTTTTTTTTTACACAAAGTCACAAGTATGTGTCACCCAGAGATGATCGAACTCTGTAATCAGTAGTAATAGCCAACCAGACCAATTTGTTAGCCATTACCTGACGCCAAATGAAAGTGATAGTAACAAGAAATTCAGGGAATGTGAGGTATTTTTATTTATCAAGTTTAGCTGGCACAAGGCTGCAAATGCCCTGGTCGGAAGGTTTTGATGAGCGTAGAACTATCATTTAATTCCTGTTTTTCCCAAATCCACACTGACCCGGAGTGGTAGCACCTGTTAGGGTCCCTGCTATGGGCAAATAGTGAAACCCTAAAATGGAGTAAAAATACTATGAAAATATAAAAATACATTTTTATAGTAAAAATTTCTAGCAATAGATTTTAATAGTAAAAAAAAATAATTTCCAACAAAAGATTTTAATATTTAAAAAAATACCAAAGCTCTCAAGAAAATTAAATTTCGACATTAAATGACCCATAAGGAGTTGATATACCGTTAACCAAACCAAACCAAATCAAAAGTGTGGTTCTACCATTTCTTTTATAGTCGAGTAGTTCGAAAGGACGGGGAGACAACTATGGTTGCCTTCACCACAAGAATATACACTAAAAAATACAGAGTTACTTTTTAAATCCGCTTTTTTTTCTTTTTTCTTTTTTAAACGAGAGGTACAGTGTAACCCGGATATAAGAGAAACCCGGATATAAGAGAGATTTTCTCTGGTCCCAAATTAGAGCCTGTGTTACCTAAACAAAATAGACCAAACCCGGATATAAGAAAAACCCGGATATAAGAGACTTCTTCTCCCGTCCCGACAACTCTCTTATATCCGGGTTACACTGTATTTTAAAGGGATTCTCTTGTGGGTATCTACAATGACATGATAAATTAAAATTAAGCATGTTTTGTGGGCTAATTGGTCAGTACTGTAATGAGTTCGATTTTCAATGAGTGAATTTAGCTTTTTGCCAATCTAGATCAAGCAAGTTAATAATACTACAGGAGAATAAGACAGTAAAAAACAATATGTTGTTCTTCCATATTTGTTTTTCCTTTATTAAAATTGGAGATACTGCCACGCAACCGATAAAAGGGGGAATTTTTCCTAAATTTTACAGGCTCAGACTCTCTCTCATTTTTCAATGTTAATTAATATTCATCTTAAATATTTTATTTACTTGATGATAAAACTTCAAATAATGGCAATATCAATATATAAAAAAGCAAAAAAGTCTCAGAATCAATTTCGTATTTCGCACATGTTTCGTTTTTCAGTAAACCAAAGTAGCATTCGTTTTTTTATTCAACCATAATATAATTATTCAAACAAACATGGCGACGACGATGTTTTCGCCAGTCTTCGTTCTACCATTGTTTATCATATTAGACGCTTAATACAAAATAATAGTAAAACAAATCGACAATTGCCAAATATTGGACACGGGAGTCTTCCACTCGCCGTTGTCCTCCCAATACAAACTCATTATCGTAACTTTTTTGTGTAAAAAACAGACGATACATCCGTCGTCCTGGAGAAGCCTCCTTCCTCCTGTCCCAGTGGCGAGGTGTCGTCTACTTCATCATCCTCGTGGTGTGCCGAGGAGGAACTGGAGCAGGACGACGTCTATCCTCCGTGGGGCGCGAGTGTGGCCGCCGCTCTCCGGGGGGCAGCGGCTCCGTCCTCCTCCTTGGCTGCCATGTCATCAACGTCAGCAGCTGGACCTGTGGCCAGCAGCTCGACGTCCACTTCGGCCACATCCACCCCGGCAGGGAATCAACAACACCTTCCACCCATCATGTGTGGAGCCGAGATGATGTCCGAGGAGGAGTCCACGGCCGTCTACATAAACAACAACCTACCCATCAATGCTTTTCCAACGATTGAAGACATTCGTCGAAAGGGGAAGCTTTGTGATGTCACACTCAAGGTACGATCAGTTTGTTTTTTAAATTAAATGAAAAGACAAAAAAAATGTCATGCAAGTTTACTTTCACTGTTTCGAGGGTTAAAAAAAATATAATTAGGGACCGTCATCAACTTTTCTTTCAGGATTTAATTTCATTTTAAAATGTATTTTGAGACAGTATTTAAAAAAATAATTATTGAGAAGGGACGGTATGTTACTATTATTAACTACTATCTCCGTGTGCTGTATTTTTAAGTTGTCAAACACGGATATTAGTACTTTTTAGTCCCTGCTTAAGAAACTAAAAAAGAAAAGTTTTACTTTAAAAGTTACTCTCAAATCTCAATCAATACAAACAGATAATAATAATATTTCCTATTTTTATGTGTTGATAATTAAACACTTTGTTAGGTAGTTAGTAATACGATTTATTTTAATCGTAAGAAGACGATCTGTGTCAAGAAAACTTCTTTTCTCTTAAAAAAAAAAAAAGTAACAGCAACACATTTACTTTACACTACACAGTCTTGGCTTGGTTCTTTATTTCTAAAAGAAAGAGAAACATTGACGCTCTGGTCTCTTTTTAGTTTTTATGGAACTCGCCCATCTCCTTTCATCCGTATTTTAGTTTTTTTTTACAGATCTTCCGTTTTACTAAAATTAAATTTTTATCCCACCAATTTTGTCAGATAAACGTTAGGAATTTTAAAAAGAGAGCGTAACTAGTCTAACTAAAAATAAGTACCACTGAATATGGTAGTATCAAATTCAAAGCAATGGATATCTTTTTTGCTAGTACAAACAAAAAAATAGCAATTCCCTCTCCAAACAATATGAAGCTAAAAACTAAAAAGAATAAAAAATAAAATTGAAAACAACTAGGCAACAAAATAAGAACCAAAGAAAAAAAATATTTTTCTTTATTTTTTTTTTTTTTTTTCAATATAACCCTTTTAATCCAAATTTAATTTATTTTTGTAAATTGTGGTTTAATTGCATATTGAATTTTTAGATGGGGATCATTTAAATTTAAAAAAGAAAGTCGAGAGTCGAGACAGTCTTAGAAAAAAAACAGATTACCATTCGGTTTTTTGTGGTACGTATTAGTGATTTTTGTATCCGAGAATCTTAAATTAATACAAAAAACAATTTTAATAAAATATAAAAATACTAAACTTAAACAGTTCTTCAAATTAAAATTTAAAAAAAGAAACGTCATTGTCAATGTAAATTTTTGATTTAATAAGCTTCTTAAAATTGTATTAAGTTTTTCATTACATTTTTAAAAAATTCTTTAATTCAATTTCACTAGGTTTGTTTTTTTAACAAAGATGAAAAAAAAACAACAACAAAAAACGTCGTGGAGACAAATATGTATATTTCTTGAAAATGTTTGTAAATTTTTTTTTCTTTGATTTTTTATCTTCTTCAGAAAGCTTTCTGAAACTAAGAAAAAAAATTAACAAACTTCAGTAAAATACGTCATCACCTAAACACTTTGATACACTTTGGTTTTTAAAGCACTCGGCAGTCTCTAGTGTAATATTCTTTTTGTTATGCTACTTAAAAACCAAAAAAACAAAAGTGTAATGGTGTTACACAGTGTTACTGTCAGTTAGTGTTAGTCATCCATCATTTAATTTCTTACTGAATGACCCTGTCTTTTGACCTGCATAAAAGTACTTCAAGCTTGATAAAATTATTTTTATGCATGATTTAATTCACATAATTCATATTCAGACTTATGAATTAATCCTAAATAAAAAATAATTTTATAAACCTTGGAGTTTTTTTTTTTTTTAAATGTAGAAACCATGCTGTCATACTAACTAACTAAATTCTCTATTTAAATAGCATTTCATTTTGAAAATTTACTCGTGAAACTATATTTTTGCTAATTGACTGCTTAATGTAAAAAAGGTACTTGTCACTGTCAGTCACTATGTACAATGTGATATTGGAAAGTTTTGAGAATCAGCCTTAAAAGAAAACTTTAGTAAATATTTCATATATTATTTAAATTTTATCACTATCTTGAAATAGACTCCTTGGGAGTATATGATAATAGTACCTCTCTCATGCCTCTAAAACACTGCAGAATTTCTCTTCCTGAATGCTATAACACAATTGTTTTTCATAAAGATCTGGTTGGTGCCATTAATTGTTCCAGTTATATAAGAAAGCTGATGGTTTTTCTTTCTCCGTTTTTTTTTTTTTTATGTTGGGGGCATGTATCATGGATAAGTTCACAATAACCTACACTCACCCCCCCCCCAATTTCTAGTATTTTGTTTGTGATTATTTACCTTGAATGCACTTGATCTTGAATTGACTGTTCTTGAAGTATGCATGCTGCTTGAAAAACCTGTTTTGTTATAAAGAATGTTCGGCAAAATCCTGACAGCATTTCCAGAATCTCTGTAGCAGATTTGCTGAACTTCATGCAATATTTATAAGCTAGTGTAAAGATCACGAAGCCATTTTGGCACAATTTTACAAAATCCTGTGTAAATTAACACAGGCATTTAGGACAAAGTTTATTAACTCACTCAGTAAATTTGGTATCAGTGTGTGTTAGCTGTACACACATTTCCACTGAATAGTGCAATCATAACACTTAGGGTTTCAGAATTTTCTGATACCACTCTGTAGTTTTACACCTGTTTCCTTATGCCAACTCAGTTGCTTTTGTTTAGTATATTCAAAGCATTTTAGTTACTAGTACGTTTGTAACTAACTAAAGTACTAGGTGGTTAAAACTGTTTACAAGGACAGTAAAAAGACTTGTTAGTACTGACTGTGAGTGGATCTGTTTAATGAAACCAAGCATAATTCACATAACTTCTAACAAATATTTTTCTTGCTCAGACATAAATAATAAAAGATTAATTATTCTGAAGTATTAGAAATAGGGGTTTTTGTTACTGTTAATAAAATCCATATAACAGAAAAACTCCTTTCTCCATGAGGAATGAAAAAAAATTTAAAACCTTCCCCTGAGTTGATAAATATATTGGGTTGACCAAAAAGTTTGGTTTATTAAGTAAATTTTCTATTTTTTCCTTTTCTTTTTTTTTTATCATTTCATCCCAAGCAAAGCAATAAATCCACTAGGATGTAAGAGGTTACTGTGTGTTAGAGAATATGAGAAAAACTACTATTAAGATGATAGGGCAATAAAAGAAGAAGAATTAAGAAGACAGAAGATAACGCTTGACATTGCATATAAATTTTGGAAGATCAAAGTTGACTAGGAAGCAAGAAGTCAGAAGAGAGTTCCACAAGCAAGAAGTGCAATAGAAGAAACTGTTAGCATAGAACTTAGTTATATCTAGCCATTTCAACTGTAAAATGATGAGATCTTGCTGCCAATCTAGCACTTAGCTTAAATTCATAAAGTCTAGGTACCATAGCAGGAAGTTCATCAGAACAATTACCATGAAAGTCTTTATAGAAAAATCACAGGGAAGATGTGGCAGCAATATTCAAAGTGTGGATGAAAGATAGACTTATAAATATGTGAGATAGATTCTGTCAGGAAAAATTGTCTAGCATGATATAGTGAACCACCTTTTTTAGCTTAATAAGTGAATGATCTTTTTGGCCAACTGAATACAGACCAAAGTTAACAGTTTACATCAAATGCTTTGGTCATGTATATCAGACAAATAAACTAATTACCAATTTTTATATAGGTTTTATTTTGTTTAAGTTTTATTAAAATTCTAATCATTGCTTTTTAAAACAAAAAATATTGCCAAGGGAGCGAAAGTAGTTAAAAATAATAACAATGCCAAGGAAAAAAAACTTTTTGACACTCTGGTTTTTTGTGGGCACAAACGTCCATGTTGTGTGGAAAACTACTAAGACATTTTTACTCTACTAATTGGATTATACTAAGTCCATTTCACTTTAACAGATAAATATAACAAGAAAACTTTTGTGGATTTCTAACTTTTCAAAATTAAAAAAAAATTCTCACTTGATCAATTTGAACAAGAACTCTAGCATCATGACATCACAGGCTCCAAAACATATATTCAGCTGTCAATAAATAGCATAATTTTAAAAAAAAACATTTTTTTGGTCTGCACTTCATTAGTCTTAGTATTTGCTTATATATAAGAAAATTATGTCCTGAACATGACAGTTTGAAATTCTCGAATGTGGCATGTGTCTTCCATTTGACAACTACTTGAATATAAGGATCTTATTAATCAAGGAATTGATAGTAAGTTCATGTCTCATTAAGTTCTGTTAGTGAGGTGATTTTGCCATTAATCACATTAATATTGCTATTTAATTCTTTGTATAAATTGTTTCTTTATGATATAAAATATAATCTACACGCTTATATATATATATATATATATATATACACACACACACATTGTTCGCCGCTATTATATGTACCAGTTTATCGTGGTACCCGGTGTACTGTTGAACCCCAAGATTTTGCTCTTGTACCCTCAATATTGCTCACTTTTTTAGAAATTCCACCCTATTTTACCAATTTAAGGGCCATCTTCTACATGATAGACAGAAAAAACAGTGATCATTAGATAGCTCCTAATTTGTTTTAATAATTACACCCTTTTTTCACATGTTTTACACTGATATCAATGATCGAACAGCCAAAGTTTTTGAGAAAATTTTAACACCTCGGCCGTTTCACACCTAATCCAATTGTATTGGTAATAATTACACATGATTACTTTATATTTCTATTTCACATGTGATCAAAGAGTTCCTATAATATCGGACTAATTAACAGGAATTCAATCACTGCAATTAGATACCACAGATGGGGTATAAATAGTAGTACTTTTCTCTGCTTGTTCATGTTCAATTTGACTGTCCAACAGTAGACATCAAGTATCTGCCATGAATAAACAAATATAAATAGCATGATTTAATTAGGGGTCGCAATAGGAAATTTCAAGAGGAAGTACTTTTGACGATAGTTGAAATTTATTGTATAAAAAATCTGCTGTAAAACACTGAAATAAATTGAAATTTCT